TCAGAAACGTTCCCCGAAGTTAGTACTTAGACTGGGAACATTAAAAGTAAATTCTGCTTAACCAGAAGATGTGAAATGATATAAACGTGGGTTTGAGTGTTGAAATTATTCTAAAAACCTGATTATCTTGTCACACGTAAGCTGTATACTAGCGTAAGTGTACTTGAGGTCTCTAACCAATGAGGCGAGGAGATATCCTTGCTTGTTTTCCCCCCTTTCAGCATACCCCCAAGGAGACAACGTTCTGGACACGGGGTTGAAGTGTGAGGATCACAAATACTCAATCAACCGTACGCAGTGTTGGAAGCTACTCCCATCCGCCGACAACACAACGAACTGGACGCTCGATTGGCCATATTCGTCCTGTGCAGCTGAACTGAACTGAACTGAAACCAGCAATAACCGTCCCTAGCCAATTTCAAGGGTTTAGACTTAAGACGTTGAGCCGACGGGCGGGTGGGCTTTGCAGTCTTTAGTGCGCCCACGGCGTGCCCGGGTCCGAGAGACCTGCAGGGTGGGTTGGGGTACCCTATCCCTAAAGGATAGGCGCTCATGAATGCAGTGTGGTTTACCGCGCTGTGCGGAACGTGGCGGAGTAGACTGGTGCGACATCATGGCAACGAGCAAAGGCTTGGCGTTGCTGACCCGGGCCATAATTTAGTCTACAATTGGAGCAACCTTGTCTAGCGAGGTGTCCTCCAGGAGAGCTATTACCATGGTCTGGACATGAACCGGTAATGACTCGATCCATAGCACCCTGACGATGTCCCAATGGGCATCGTGTGGTCCGGCGAGGGACCTCAGGTGAGCTAGGTGCTGGCTGGTGCTTAGCGTCACCCATGGGATGGCGTGCCAATAACTTCCGCAGCCGTTCCTCCTTGGATGGGAGAAGGGTGTCGAGAATGGCCGATTTCAATTTATCGAATGGATACTCCCGGAGGGGATTTAAAACTAAATCCCGTAAAGAAGATAGCTTGTCGCCCGCAATGGCTTCCGGTGCCAGCGCAAACATTGCGCGTTGGTTCCTGACATTTCTATGAGCGAACTGCAGCTCTAGCGCCGCTAGCCAAACCTCTGAGTCATGGGGAACGAATGGGATCGGTTAAGTCGGGGCTGATAGAACGTGTCTTATTGTCGGATGACATGATGTTGCGATAATATATTCGATGTAAGTATATATATCGCGCAACAAAGATACAAAACTGCAGACTTACTGAAGAACAAATAATGTAATTGTTAGGTCATCCGATCGTTGGGACCACTCGGAATATGGGGTGTATAGGGGGTGGGCCAGAGAAGCTTAAGCGCCTGCACAAATTGTTTTTGGGCACACAAAAGGGGGGGTGCAGTCGAATTCCTACCTCTTCCACTGTGGCTAGCATACGACAGCAAACCTGCCTTGATGATCGACCACGAACCCGATACAGTGGACGGAATGCCTCGGTTACATTCACAGTGTGATTTTTTTCAGCTAGGTGTGAAATTCAAATTTTTATTATGGGATATAACTTACAAAGACTTCGCTTTTACAAATCCCATAGGGTGTTTACACTTTGTTTCGGATGACAATTCACAATATCACAGTTAGTCCATGAAAGTAAAGTAGTAAAGTAA